TGGGCGTCGCCCCCTCCTTTTTTGGAGGAGTCGGGAGGTGTGGAGACTGTGTGAAGAAAATTTGTTCTCGTTTTATAATGAAAAGGTATTATTTTAGTGTGAAGGAAAAAAGAGGGGGGGGGGGGGGGGGGGGGGGGGGGGGCTTATTAATTTTCTTCCCCTGAGGCTTATTAGAGGAAGAGGGCTTATTTGAGAGGGGAGCTTAATAGAGGATTTACGGTATTTAATAAAGTAGACCAAAATGTTTACAAAAACGCCAACAAGAGCGTCCTCAATGCATGCCAATCAAATTCCTCTTTTTAGCAATCGGCCCAAGCTTTCCCCATGATCTTTTCACACCTGTTACGAAGCGCTTCCTTCACGGCCGAACATTAATATTGTCCAGTTTTTACTGAACTTTTAATCCAAAATATTTCGATAACGTGCTCTTAGCCTAATTTCGCTCAAAATTCACGAACATTGCGGCAGGTGTTGGAGGAGCAAGCTATCGTGATCGATTTTGGAAAAAAAAATACCTCCCGGCGTCGAGAAATACGGCGGCAAGTAATTTAGGTAATGACGTCAATCCGTTGCTATGACAACTCCGATGTCATCGTAACATAAATCATAACAAATTTCCTTCTTTATGTAATACAGCTGTGGTGGTTATTTTTGCAAGTCTTAGTTAAAGGTAACATAGTGAATGCTCAAACTTGGGCGGTATTGCAGATGAAAAACCGCATTGAGTATGTAATTAAGTCTATAATTTCATGTTGCTGGTATTTACTTTTTCGGTATATTTTAGTTAATTTTTATACACATAATTTTATTTCATTAGGGCTCCCGTTTATATCTGCTCTGCTCTAGGTGCAATAGATTAGTGGATAATTCAGATAATTATTTATAAGAAGGTAAAAGAAAACGAGTATAAGTTAAGGTATAAGTTATTTTATTATATTTAACATCCTTGGCTGTTCTACAGTAAAGAAGGTCACGACAGAGGATTTTTCCTTGAAAGTACGTTTCAATTTAGCATGAATTAACAGGTAAAATGCATACAAAACTAACTCGATTGACAGAATAGTTGCCTTAATGTCACTTTTACAGCTTGCCTCACTTCTCTCATGTTCCAACAGTACAACAACGGGTTTAAAGATGAGTTCAAGTAAACTACACTTCCTGTATATTGCGTGGCAAGGTGAATTGGCAAGGTTATCCCTCTTTGAGGTGTTATCGCCACCACCACAACAAACGGCAGATAACAAACAACCAATGTTCCCTGCACCCACAGTGCAATGTTCACTGCCTTTCTGTATCGAGCTATGTTCAGTGGAGTTGCTTGGCTTGGTTGTCTTCTAAAAATGGTCAACACGAACTTGATTATGACGCAGAGTAAAGAAAATTTTTGTGTAAGCGAAGATTGTGATGAATAGGCACAGAGCTGTACCTATATACTGAGAAAATGAACTTATAAAAGGATTCCAAAAAAAAAAAAACGAGAGGCAGCAACATTGGACAAAATCTAAAAACCAATCACAGTTATATACATTCTTCTTAAAGTTACAACTTGTCTGTATCTGAGCCCCAGCAACAAGGCGAGAAGTCTGAGTGTCCATGCTTATTGTAGTCAATGTAACTAAAGATACTGAACACAAAGTTTGACCTGAGAATCTTGCTGCCCAATTTGCGTAATGGCAAATATCCCATCTTTCGTTCACAACAGAAGTAATGTAAGTCCCATACAAAGGTTCTGCAATGATACCAACACAGAGATCAGTTATCGCTAGGTTACGATACAGGAGTTTGGACGGTGGATGAAGGGAAGTTTCCTTGTGTAGGGCAACTAGGATCAGAGTGTTCTCCAGAAATGCTGCAATGTAAAGAAAAATATTTAGAGCTGAAAGGAATATAAGCTCGCTCTCTACGCCTCTGACAAATTCTGCCGAGCAGTCTAGTTCTTGGACGGTTTTATGGTTTTCGTCTTCAGTAAAATTTTTCAGGGCCATTTTCCTCTTCGACGCAATGACCTGCAAATGAGAGTTTTATTTATGTATACTATTTTAATTTGGGTGAAGGTTGATATCATTTCGACATCTCTACAGTCAAAACTATTCACTTAAACAGGCTATATACGTTCATTTGTCGCGTATTAATAAATAATGATCAGAAGTAATTTATAGAGTCATAAACGTGCAAAAACTGTCAACTAAACGTAAAAGAAAAAAGCTCACAGGGCCAAGAAAGGTCCAGCAAAGTTGTCTCGGTACTTCTTCAATCTAAGCTAAGTTCAATTCAACTGTAGTTTTTACATTTTTAATTTTTTTTGCAATTTTTATATTTTTTTATGTTCGTGTGTACATAGATTATAGATTATATGTATATATATTTATTTTTTTATATTATAATTGTAGATTTAATGCACATTCGTATTTTGAACGAGCACTTTTGCTCTTAGACGATAACGTGGTTGAATAAATTATAACTGTTATTGTTTGCTAATTCATCTGTAATTATCACGATCCGTGTTTCAAACAAACTCCGCCGCCGCTACTAATAACTAGGCTAGAAATGAATCTAAGATAAAAACTAAAATAATAACGATATAACAATAAAAAACCTGCTTTACATTGAGGCCTCGTGTAAAGATACATATGATGACATTTTCCTGACAGAAGGGTGTCGGGAAAAACACCTCGCGCTGATCATACGTGACAAAATCTGCCGCGCCTAAGCTAATGAAGAAAAGTCTCCTAGAAGGCTCCATACAATTCCTTAAGGAATTGTATGGAGCTCTCCGGGATACTTACAGTGCAAGCCCTGTGTGTCTTCTCATTGACAAAAGAGATGAGTTTGTTCTTAAAAGTTGTAGTCAGAGTTTCGCAAAAACAATGAAGTGTTTCAAGCTGACACCGAACTTTAATGAGCCTGTTCAGGAAACTAACTCACTGACGATTTTAAGCAAACGCATCAAACTGGAAGTTCGAATTTGATTCTGATCCTTGGCTGAATAACCTCCAAGCTTCTTTTACTTGAGCTTTTCCACTTTGTTTTCTGGTGGGCTGTGGTAATTTTGTTGTCTGTTATGGATGTGCGATAATGACCTTTGTCAATTCTTCTTGTTTTAATTTTTATCAAGTTTTTCTACAAAACTTTGAGGAAAAAACTGAATTTATTCTGTTTCTAGTCGTACCACACGAGGAAAAAGGATTCAGAAAAGTTGTCTAGTTTTTCAAACAAACATTAGCCGAACTACAATGAGCCAGGTGAAACGGACTTAAGGGCTATTTTAATAGCTTTTTAGGTCTTAATATGTTGTCTTTGCAACAAAGTTTCCCTGCTAGCAGAGGTCTCTCACAACGAGAGACCTCTTCTAGCAGGGAACAACAATGTCTGCATGACGTTTTCTTCATCAATATCGCTGTAGGTAATTCGGCCAATGCTGCATGCAAATATGCTTCAGTCATCAGAATTTCCCTAGCAGAGCGCAATACATGTGAGTTATTAACCGAATTCAGATGGCTGGATAAAGAAACTTGGCAAGGGCCTTTAGTTTTTGAGTCTGTTATGAGAAGCAAAACGCGCGCTGTTGAAAACTTTATAATGACGTCTCGTTTAGTAAATATTCGACTGGGCGATACTTATTATATACATGTATAAACTTATTTAACATCAAAAGTCAATCAATTAAATTGCTAATCGTGGGCGGCCACCTTTGACCGACGTTTGCATAGAGTTTACTTGTAGAAAGGAAGTCTTAACAGTCCAAACACGGCAAACTGGTTTGTTTATAACTTTTGGGTCGGTTGAGACAGGTTTCGATTGAGTCAACCCCATAACTATCAAAGCTTATCAACAGTAATTAGGTATAAAATAAAGATATCCCCTCTAACTTGCAACTGAGAAAAATTTTCTGTAGAATAGTTTTGATTATACCTCATGTCTTATTTTAAAAGAGCGTCCCTAGTCATTTTAAACACCTGCCGACTTCTTTTTATGTCATCATATGTTTTAAAGCCCAGTATATAAATATTCACGACACATATCGATTCTTGTTATTTTATTCGTATTTTTAATTGTCCAACTCCGACATCCGTTACTAAAGCAAAATAGCGATATCCATAAGGACACACGTTTCGTTTAAGTGAACGAAACCCCATAACTATAAATAATGCTCGGGTATAAAATAAAGATATTCACTGTGGCGACAATATTTTTCTACTAATTTTGATTATCACCTCAATTTGCCTTCTTTTAACAAAGCGGCCCTAACCATTTTAAACACCTGCTTGCTTTTTAGGTTAATATACAGTATGTTGCCTAGCCTAGTATCCGGACGGTACCAGTATCCACCCACTTGAAAAAAAACTCAATTTTTGAGGCGCCCTTTTCAGTTCTCGGTAAACGAAGTATTTCGAATGAAAGCTGAACATTTCAGCTTTACGATGAACGTTTTTGCGATTTGAAAGCTTGCGAAACAGTCGCAGAAGACGCCGTTC